AGTCCAGTGCGGCTTATATATGTACACATCATTCAATTTAGCTGCTGCGGCTTATATTCAGGTGCGCCTTATAGTCCGAAAATTACGGTATATGTAAAAAAAAAAAAAGGTACAAAAAAAAAAAAAAGTCTAAATATGATATTTGGCCTCAAATCGCGTGCCACCCAGGTTGGGAACCACTGCTTTAGATCATGGCACACTTCATCATTAAGCAAAAACCTTTCAGATATTTTTCATCCGAAGATCCTTCTGCTACTACTGCAGTATTCAGAGTAGCTCTCAAGATATACCTTTTAGTCCGCATTACACAAAATATAAGCTTTTGCATCTCTCTCTACAGATCATACTGATTTAATGGAAAGAAAAGTTCCCTCACACCTTTAAGCCATGGATTAAAGACATTATAGATCATTCGAAATTGTAGAAAATTCACTATTTTACAAGAGGCTCAGAAGTTTGATGCTATTTAGCAAACACTGTTTACACTTGTAAAAGAAAAAATGGACGCATGTGATTGTTTGTTCTGAGGAACCCATTTTGTATGTAGCCTGCTTATGTATTTAACTGTACTTTTTCTCACTACTGTCTCACCATTTATGTAACCTTTAAGTCATTTATTTGTGATATCTTCATGTAAGTGCTAATGTCATGGATCGTGTTCAGTAAAAAAAAACTCAACAGACCTGTTTCTAACATCGAGTAAGAAAGAAAGGTTTCACCTGTATCTCTGATTTATTGGAATTAATTCAACTTTAAATATCAATAAGAGCTTTTTTTTCATACCATTTAGAAAACATCTCTCCTGTTGTTCATGAAGGAGAGATGCATGAACAACAGGAGAGATGTTTGACGGCTGTGGGCACGGAGGCTAGCGATGATAATTTGAAAGTCAGCTTTCATCAGTTTGTCAAAAAAAGCTGTCTCACTATTAAATTGTAAAATGAAAATAAAGAAGGCTCATTTCCTCTCTGCAGACCTGCTTAATACACACACACACACACACACACACACACACACACACACACACACACACACACACACACACACGGTCAAATTGATGAAAAAAGCTTGATGTGGTGTTGCGTAACCGTGGCATTAACACTCAATTGTGTCAATAAAGATGTTTTGATTACAAAGGTAATGGTTTGGAACAGATTAAAAATGAACAACTCGTTTTAATACATGCAAATATTATTCATGTGATCTTCCAAAGTGTTTATGAACACAGATTCATTCTTATTCAAATGTTATCGTCATTGTAAAGCTCAGCCTGCAGCTGTTCCATTGTCAATAAACAGAGACTGAGCCTGTTTGTTTAGACCTGTTTTCCTTTTGCTAATTTAGTTTTCTTCATTTATTTTTTCATCCACGATAAATTAGAACTATCATTTCAGAAAATTCACGTGGCTCTCACTTTTGTCATTAAAAGATTTGGATCTATTTTTTATCGTTTTGCAACATTTATGTACCAAGATGTCCCAAGGCATTGCAACAGCTGAAAGTACAAATTCAGTGTCATTTCATGTAAGTGAGGATATAGAGCAACGCTGAACACAATCTGAGATCATTTCTTGTTTGTTGACATTTCTCACTTCACACTCGGCTCACGTTTTGGAAATAAGCTCTGCCTCTGGTTGCCAAGATGAATAAAATGCAATCTGTGCTGATTAATGCCAGCCAGCAGGAGAACTTGAAATTGTCTGTTATCTGGGATGGAGGACTTCTGGAGGTGAAGGCTGCTGCTGAGACTCACCTCCCCAGGTTGATGACTCCTCGGGGGATTCCTGTCGGCGTGTTGAAGGCCGGCAGCAGCTTCTCTCCCAGCTCCACCACCTTTTTCTTGTAAAACTGGAACATAAAAAAGGGGCAATCTGGTGAATAGACAGCATATGTAGAAACCAGGGCTGTCAACTTTACGCTGACGATTAATCTAGAAACTTTAACGTGTAAAAATAAATCAACACAAATGAATCACCAAGTTTGATCTTAACTTCTTCACGTAAGTACAGCGTCGATGTTTACCATTCATTGCAGTAAAAAGGCAAAGAAAGAGGAGGTATGGTGCATGCTACATGTATTACACTGACTGGAAACCACTGAAGCACTAAGCAACGGCACCCCTAAGCTACAGTATGACAAATAGCAATTGCACTTGTTCGCTTAAGGTTGGATGAAAACAGAGGAAAGGTTTTTTGCCGAACCATGAGCCACTTTCTTGAAGTTGTACAGACTTCCCACCTCTTCTCCTTAGCGTATTGACCTCTTTTAGATTGTTGCTTTTATTGCATTTAAATTGTTTATTGTTTTTTACTTGTACTTGTTTTATGGTGTGTGAGCTTTGCTGTGGGATTTGTTGGACGTTTTGTTTGTTTATTTGACTGTACATCACTTTGGTCTGGAGGTTTTAAAGTTCTTTATAAAAAATCTGTATTCCATGTATTACACAGACTGGGAACCACTGAACGTTGGTAAGCACTAAGCAACGGCACACCAAAGCTATGACAAATAGCAATTGCACTTGTTCGCTTAAGGTGGGATGAAAACAGCATTTTTGCCAAACCATGCGCCACTTTCTTGAAGTTGCACAGGAGTGGGAGAGAGAGGAAGACTAGCACACTATTGTATGAACAGAAAGGGCTTGCAGTATGAAAGCTTTCTGTGACAGTGGATTGTCGATGTTTAGGCTGAGTATCGGAAAATTGTTGGACTTTACGCCAATTCTTCAGAAATCATGTTTATAATAAAGTAACAACGTCATGCATATCTACATTTAAAAGACCTAACATATTTGCAAAGAAAAAAAACTGCCATTCAACTCATCCAAGCCTAAAATAAATCACTGTCACAGGCCTGCTCACATTTCCCCTCCAAAGCTAATTATCTGAAACATGAGGCCGGCTACAACGGAGCTCCAGCAGGATTAAAAGCAATCTCATCGATGTAATCTACAACAGCCCCATTTCAAGCCAACGCACTTCCTCCCCATCTCCACCGGGCCCTCTGAGGCCGAGGCTGTGGCAAAGTTAATGGATCACCTTATGAGCCGGATTATCAGTCACAAACTCTCCATTAGCCAGCGGGAACAATGTTTGAAAAATTGACGACAGAGGAGTGAGATATTGAAACCCCTGACAAAGGGAGAGACGTCTGAGGAGACAAAGGTAGCCGAGGCGGGAGGAAAATAGGATATTCTTCAGAAGACTAGAAAGCCTCAGAGACATGAGAGAGAGCAGAAGAAGTGATTGAGAAGAGACGGGCGCTGAATAGATATAGAGGGGAAAAATAAGTCTAGACGAAGAGAAAACGCACACAGGAAAAGAGTTTGGAGAGTGGAGCGGTGACTCAGCAGAAATATTGAGCAAGTTAAAGAGAAAATGGGAAAAACAAATTACAATCAGATAGTACACACCACTGACCTTCACCAGGATTGTAATCATTGAGCTTGTAGTCGATAAAAGACGCTTTCACCAAGCAGAGTGAACAAATATTACTGTAGATTTAATGTTTGCTGTAATGCAGTACTTGTTTCCATTGTTTCGTACCTAAAAACACATCTAGACTACGCACATATATCATAAAACGTACATACATCATATACGTAGACTATTCAGGACTCTCTTTGCTTAACATGCATATTTCAAAGCCAGTATCTGCAGTGTCCTCCTACTCAGGGGCAGTTCTAAGGGGGGCCAACAGGGGCCAGTGCCCCCGTAACACAAACCCCTCCAAAAAAAAAGGTAACAATATTACGATTTATTGGAACTAAATCAAATCAGAGACCCGGATGTACAGTGGAGATTAAACTGTTCATTACCTTATAAAAGCAAATAGTGTTTATGTTTTTTAATTCAATTGTCACTTAAAGTTACTAAAACAAATACTCTAAATGAAAAAAACTATAACAAAGGACTATAACTTACCCTTACTAAAACAAATACCTTTATAAAACCAAATAGCAATTACTGTATTTTATGTTTATTTTACACAATTACTTTATACTGTCTTAGTCCTTTTAACCCACTTTTATTGGGCCCCTCTCATGAAATAACTGGCTCCAGCCTGGCCCCCCGAGTTAAATTGGCCTATAACTACCACTGCTTCTACTACCCATAACCCTCTCAAACGTTATCGAAGCAACAGCCGTGTGATCTCTACAAAAACATCACTGACTCTCACTGTGAGGAACGAGGAATGCAAAATAGTTGGAAAATGAATAAATGAATACACAGATAAATGAATAAACAAACTAGAGGAGACATTGACTTGACAACTGCAGTTTCCAAATTGCAAGAGCTGGCCATTTTCTTGTTTTTGCATTTTTCAGAAGGGCTGTTTCACGCCGGCTTGTAAATAAGAAGCTGTCAGAAGATGTTTTCTGCAACACACCCTGAATGCTTGACCCTCAAATACAACAGCGTGTCGGACAAGATCTTTCATTACATTCAAAGTGCTCACTTAGCACAGTAAGTATGTGTGTCTAAATACCAGTCCATTTATTAAATAGTGCTTTAAATACACTGGCCGCAAATAGGACATTTATAAAGCAAAATAACTGATGATCAAATAGTGTCACACAAACACAGAAATACTTTTTGTATTGCTAAAGCTACTCATATTACCCTGGTGTTGCTCATACTGGACATACTCTTTGTGTATTTAAGTAGCTATGCATCTTCCTTGGTAACATAATTGTGTCCCAGTTATTTGTTTATTTTATTTAATGTACTTTTATTGCTATAAGCTGGACCTTGAAAATAAATCCCCCGAAATAATGTTTTATACCCTCAGGGCCAAAATATATACTACTCAAGGCTTCAAAAACCTGTTTATATATTTCAAAGCAGGTTGGTGAAAAATGTATTTAAACTCGATTTTATGTTTTCTAGGTAGACATTAGTTCTATGCATTTGAGGAAAAGGACTGTGATTTTTTTTATTGCCAAAAATGTGTGGACATAGGTGGCGAAACAAAGTCAGGGTTAATTCAGGTAGAATAATACAGAGCAGCATAATACACAGCTTGATGTTTGTGTGTGAGTGTGTGTGTGAGTGTGTGTGTGTGTGTGTGTGTGTGTGTGTGTGTGTGTGTGTGTGTGTGTGTGTGTTCCACTGCCTCTCAGTCCCCTGGCTCTCTATTATATCAAAGAGAGCACTAATGACCCTCTGCCCGGTCTCATTCCTCCTCCTCGGTCCTTTCTACCACCGCTGATGCTCAGGCAGACCAGAGGCCCACAGGCACACACACACACATTCAGAGCAGACACACTGTTAAAAAACAAGCACACACACAGACTTCCTCTTATATACTTAAGTTTGTGTGCACTTTGTAAAACAGGATGGTAAACTCACATTAGGGCTGCATATTATATTGTTTTTTTAATGTCATAGCAATGTCAAATTGCGTAATAAAAAAAAAGAAAATTACTGCAAAATTGCACTTGCTGACACTTAGAAAGAGATTCAGAAGTTAACTTGTCACAAAAGTGATTAGTGTTTTATTGGGGCATTTTGTGCTAGGTCTAATCAGTGAGTTTAATAACAACAATGTTTGAAAATAATTTCCTTTACATTTTGTTAAAGGGGCCCTTTTTTAATCTTATGGGGTTTTCCTGTAGTTCCCCCCAGAGGGAGTTTCTCTCACACACCTGCCTGAAAGTTACATCACTATGGAATACACACACTTCTATAGAGTGGTGCAGGGATGACGTATTTACACGGAAATAAGGTGCGTATGGGTTCCCTCGACAAAAAAGCAATGGGATTTCTCCATAGGATTTGGGAAAATAGCTCGAAATAAGGTCTGTGGAACGAACCTGTTAGATAAATGCACGTTTTGTTCAGCCGGATAATATCCACATGTCTAGCCTACCTAATTTTCTAATCATAAATCGAATCGCCAGAAGCAAAATGCTAACGTTATGCTATAAACGAACTACAGCAGGGTCGCACGACTTCAACGTCACGCCAACTTAAGATTCATATTCAAAAATATAGATTCTAAATGGTACAAGGTAAGAAGATTTTGTTTTAACAGTTTGCAGGAGGCAGGTACTTGCTTTCAAGCAGAACACGGAAAACAGACTTAGCGGGAGTGTTTACGTGTTCGGCGTAATGACGTACAACGGCCTCGACAACTTCTGTAGTCCTATTCAGCCACATGTTAAGAACCATTGTTTTTCAGACACGTCAACTCTCCAAAAATCACCAGTGGGGTCACTGCTGATGTATTTAATGTTGTAGAACAAAACATGATCAGTCTCTGAAATTTGTGTCAAACAGAGACCTTATTTCCAGCTATTTTCCAAAATCCTATGGAGAAATCCCATTGGCTCTGAGACGAGGGAACAGGAAGTGATGAAATGCTGACTCACTTCCTGGTTTTAGGACTCGTCAATGCACCACTCTGTTGGCTAGTGTTAGAAATTAAAATCAATGTTTTGATGGTATAATGTAGCTTAAACATACCGTCAGTTTAAATGCTGTTTTATACTGAAAAAAAGAAATTCTCGTGCACAATCAGTTAAGCTTTTATTCTGAAAATCCTTCATCTCCGGTTAGCATTTAGCATGTGGCTAATATACTATTTCCTAAAGAGATGAATTTAGTAGCGAAATGACATGGAGTGATGCACACCGAAGCCTACTGATTTAACACTACAACTATAGATGTCGAGATACTACCATGCTGAATATTAAATAGAAGGTA